CCTCAGGTGTTTGTTACTCCAGACTCTTTTGTAAAGTAAATACATATACACACACATATATACACACACTACAATCTCTGCATCTGCAGGGGATATGTTCCCGGACTTACCATGGAAACTTGAAACCACAGATAATAGCAAACCCTATTGAAATGAATGACTTCCAGCAGACGCTGACCATAGAGTTGCAGTGGAGGAGCTAGAGATGCTGAGAGAGAATGCCTGCCTCGGCATTTCTATGTTGTCCAGCATGACTCTATGGTCAACTTCAGCTGGACGCGTACCATAGACTCCTGGGTGACCAGATGCCACAACTGCAAAGCAGGACAAGACACCACAAAATGTAGGGCATCACCAAATAACAGCTAAAAACACTACAGTAGCCCCTTCGTTTTCGCAGGGGGATCCGTTCCGGACCCCCCCCGGCGAAAACGGAAACTCACTAATAATCAAGCCTCATTGACTTGAATGGCTGGACGCTCCCGCGTGTGCCATTTGATTTAGCGGAGCTTGCCCCTCCATGAATAAGCAAGACTTCAAGTCTACAAAAACAGAGAGGCAAGTGCATTTTAAATGTGAAGTCGAAGGCTTTCACGACCACCCTCCATAGTTTTTTGTGGGTTTTTTTGGGCCGTGTTCTGGAAGAGTTTATCCCTGACGTTTTGCCTGCATCTGTGGCTGGCATCTCCAGAGGTTTTTAATTTTAAATGTAATTTCATGTTTCTTAGTCACGCTCAAAATGGAAGACATTTTGAGATCCCTCTTGGACAGAAGGTTGAAATGTAGGACACGTCCTGGAAAAGGAGGGCATCTGGTTGCCCTGATAGAAATCACGCTGGAGGACCTTAGACGCTAGACCTAGTTCACGCTGGAAGACCTAGAAAATGCCTTGTGAAAACATCATTTTTTCGGGTGTGGGTAAGTAAAACTAAGGATACCAGCCCTATGGATATAGAGTACACACCTTCTCCATTTGTGAGGCTTGCTGTCTTTTGATATACTCTGTGCTACTCGGGTTGATGCTTAAGGACACCATCAGGGGCTTCCCCCTTGCAATATTACCCAGGGCCACCTTCGTAACATCACAGGTCTCCAGTTTTGGCCCTAAAGTCTCAAGGTTTGGGGTAGTCTTGGCTGGGGGCAACCCTAAAGTCAGTAGCTGCCCACATTTCACAAACATCAGGGAAGCACTGGGCAGAAATTTGGGAAAGCGTCTGGAAGAATATGTCAAAGTATCTCCTTCTTTTATCAAGATTCACACCAAGACGGCATGCGACAGCCACTGTTGGCTAGCCTGAGATGGAAGATACTGGAATGCTAGAGTCCCAAGGAGCGTAGACCCATCAGCAGTTCAGTATAGAAATATAGAAATCCCAGGGATCCAACAGGTGTGAATGCTAGTTTACAGAGCCAGCGTGGTGTAGTGGTTTGAGCGCTGGATTACGACTCTGGAGACCAGGTTTCGAATTCTGGCTCGGCCATGAAAACCCACCGGATGACTTTGGGCAAGTCACACTCTCTCAGAGGATGGCAGTGGCAAACCCCCTCTGAAGCAATTTGTCAAGAAAACCCCATGATGGCTTCACCTTGGGGTCACTCTAAGTCCAAAAAGGGCTTGAAAGAACACAATGAATGCTTTAAATGAGTGAAAGAAGATGAAGAACGTCCACCAGAGCTTAGAAAAGTTACTTTTCTGGACTACACCCCCACCAGTTCCCCCAGACAACATAGCTGCTGGCTGGGGGATTGTGGGAGTTGTTGTCGGAAAGAAAGGAAGTTTTGCAAGCTCTTGCACCCGCCACGTTGAAGGCGGCTTTCCAAAGCCAGACTTAGACTGTATACCCACCTCAAGCTGAGATTGTTCTGCAGGGCGAATTGGATGCCATTGACTATTTCGGGGAGCTCTGGGACCATCGCAAGCACCGTCACGCCTATGAAATACTGAGAAAGAGAAGCCTTTGTTTGCAACCATCTTTTCATCTCACATCCCTAGCAGGAGGACCATACTAAACCAGCCAAGTGCAGAAGCATGCAACTGGTGGTAGTGGTGGTGAAAGACAGAAGATTACCGCACAAGGTGCTAATGATGGAATCAAAGTGGAACTACAACCTATGACTCCTCTCCTTTTCGCAGAACATTGTCACTCGTTCGTCGTGATCCGTCGTTATACAGTTATCACGCTATTTTGCATTAATAGGTATTTTGTTAATGCAAAATTGTGCAATAATAACAGTATGATCAGCAACAGATGAGTGAAAGATGTTGTATAAAAAGGAGAGGAATCACAGGTTGCAATTCACTTCATTTCTATCACTAGCACCTCATTGGTAATCTTCTAAGATTTTGCAGGTAGTAGCTACTAGCAGCGATAAACTAAGCTATGGTCCAATCTGCAATGCAGGAATAATGCAGATTGATACTGCTTTAACTGCCAAGGCTCAATGCTATGGAATTCTGGGATTTGTAACTCTGTGAGATACTTAGCCTTCTCTGTCAAATAGCTCTGGTGCCAGGACAAACTACAAATCCCAGGATTCTGTAGGATGGAGCCACGGCAGTGAAAGTGGTGTCAAACTGCATTATTTCTTCAGGACACACGCAGCCTTGGTCTATTTCCTCAGACCAAGTCTACGAAAGCTTAGGCTACAACTTCTTTTGCACAGTTGGCCTCAAAGTGTAATTAGCTTACACTTTGTAAACCGCTTAGTACATCAGTAAGCGGTATAGAAATGTACTTGCTAAAGGTGCTACACACTTTGCACACTGATAATCCAGACGAACACAGCTGTCTCTCTGAAAAGTAAGATAGCCAGATCAAGTATCTCTGTGCTGTGAGGACATGATCCAAAACGGTTATGGTGATGTGGTCTATTCATCTCTTTCCCACCACTAATTTAATCAGTGTTACCATTTAAGCAGAAAATTCTTTTCATTCCAAATTATCTATCTATAAATATATGAATCAGACCCATCATGACAGTAGCAATTAATGCTTAGGTGACTAATTTGGGAAGAAATGACAAGGCACTGATTCAGTGTATGATTCAGATAAGGGAGGGAGATGGTCCTCAAAAGATGGTAAGGAAGGCTCTGATCCACTTCTTGCAGCTGGCGATCAGATTAAATTACCGAGACCATGAAATGTCTGAGATGATTAATCCAGTTAAGAATAGAGTGGAGGAAATCTCAGAAAGAGTATCCAAAAATGGCCAGTGAAGCCTTGAAACTGGCTACCAGGTGGCGTTTAGTGTTTGAAACTTTAGTTCGTAACAACTTCGATATTCAAGTAAGAATGGAACTTGGACAAAATAAAAACAAGGTAATATATATGTCAGAAGGAGAAAAGACACATGTTTCTGGCCTGTTTTTGGGCAGCGACAGGGTGAGTCTTCCTCATATGAAATGTATATGAAATTGATTTTGATTGTTTTTGGCTTTTGGAACAACTGTATTTGCAAATATGTAAATCATAAAAATCTTGGTAGATAGGACTCAAGTCTAAACATTTATTTATGTTTCATATACACCTTATACACATAGCCTCAATGTAATTTTATACAGTCGGCACTCACAGATTATTTATCTACAAATTCAACCATCCATGGCTTGAAAATATTCCAAAAAATATAAATTTTAAAAAGCAAACTTTGCCATTTTATATAAAGGACAGTATTACAGTATACCATTGTCCTTGATGGGATTTGATTTGATATCCACGGGAGGTCCTGGAACCAAACCTCAGTGGATACCAAGGGCTTACTCCTCGATATTTTAAATAATTTTGTGCATGAAACAAAGGCTGCATGCACACTGCAAAAATAATCCAGGTTGACACTGCTTTAATTGCTATGGCTCAATGCTATGGAATTCTTGGATCTGTAGTTTACTGTGGCACCATAGCTCTCTGACAGAGAAGAAAAAATATCTCACAAAACAAATACCAGAATTCCTTAGCATTGAGCCATGGCAGTTAAAGCGGTGTCAACCTGGATTATTTCTGCAGTGCAGATGCAGCTCAAGGTCGCCATGGGTCGAGATCGACTCAAGGGTGGATAACAACAACAACAACAACAAGCTATAGTGGTAACGGACTACTTTGGGGAACCCACAGAACAATAGCAAATTCCTATCTAAGTTCTGGAGCTGGCTCCACTCCTTACCTGAGACACTGGGGAGTTATTTAAGATGGGGCTGATGTGCTCCGTGGCCAAATCGGCACAGGCGGACATGCAAAGGGTGGCCACCAGGAGGATGAGCATGGCTCTCCAGCGGGACCAGTGGACCACTGCGCTGTGATGGTGGCCAGGCACTGCGAGGAGAAGAGAGGGAAATGTAGTCACACACAACCACCGCTTGATGTCAAAGTCATTTTCAAGTGGGGACTGGAAGAGAAGGTGGAGACAGACCACCAAAGAGCCCTTTGCTGTTACTGGATGGCCTCCTCTTCAGGACATGTCCTACATTCCAACCTTCTGTCCAGGAGGAATCCCAAAATGTCCTCCATTTGGAGCATGGCTAAGAAGCATGCATTTATATTTATATTGTTTTATGGTGCCTTGTCCTCTTTTGCAGTTATGACATCTGGTCACCCTGTGACCAAATCCACCCTCCAGATTTCCGCTTGTGGAGGCCATGCTTGGACAAGGGCTCCTGGCGATATTCTCCAGGCACAGATACAAAAAATTGGTCCAAATCTGACTTTCCAAGCTGTGGAGGCCTCTGCAGAGAAGCTGGACTACAAGCTCCATCATCCCAAGCCAGCAGGGCAGATGAGGCATGATAAAAGTTGTAGTCCAACATGTCTAGAAATCCCTTCAGGTTAAGAAAAGCTGCTTTGGCTACCAAGATTCCCAAGCTTAATGCAGTGATTCCCAAACTCTGGTCTTCCAGGTGTCTTCAGGGTGACCAGACATCCTCCTTTTCCAGGACATGTTCTACATTTCAACCTTCTGTCCAGGAGGAATCCCAAAATGCCCTCCATTTTGAGCATGACTAAGAAGCATGGATTTACATTTACAGGAGTGTTTTTCGCTTTTACTTGGTCATCTACATTTTACTTGAATGTCTTGCATTTTGTGGTTCCTTGTCCTCCTTTGCAGTTATGACATCTGGTCACCTTGGGTGTTTTGGACTTTGTGTCCCAGAATCCCAGACCATTGGGCAAAATGATGGTGGCTTCTGGGAGCTGAAGTCCAAAACACTTGGAAAACACCTGGAGCTTGAGAATCACTTAATGGGTCAAAGCTACAAGACCTTCTGAGTAGGTTGGCTGAAAGATGACCCATCTTTTCCCAGCCCTTTCCTCTGACCTCCCAGGGATTATTAGACTTAAAGATGACTTACGGTGGCAGTCGCTGATGTGGATATCATAGATGTGGCAATGAGTCTTCAGGGCAAAGACAAGTCCGATGATGTACGCGACTGGAAGTAGCAGGCACACTGTATACACCAGGGGCCTGCCAAAAGCAAAACATTTTTCACGGGTTCAGAAAAACCAATTGCCCATCCTCTCATTTCTCTGCTTTCCACCAGAAACTGGACTCT